TCTCTCTCTCTCTCTCTCTCTCTCTCTCTCGAGGTCTCACGAGCGTGACGTGGCGGTGTCCTTGTCTGCCGAAGCGTTGCGGCAACTGCTTTTGTTTCATGAGGTGATCCCTGATCACCGCGGACGTTCCCAGCTCTAATAAATCCACTTCTGAAGAGGTTTCGCGATGAGCTGCGCTAGGCGATCTGTGTGGCAGCTTGCGAAAAAGCAAGCGTATCTTTCAGAAATGTTCTCAATATATATGTGCCTGCACCAGCATGCACAGCGACAATTGGACGCTGATGATCTCCCCCAGCGATGTGCCAGTAATGATCTTGTCCCTCGTATGAATTGGTCACCACAGGCAACTTTGGGACATCGACCGAGGTACAGCAGTAAATTTTCTCCTGCTGTCATACCAGACGTGTCTATTGATGTCTTAGGTTCTTCTTCTAGAACGGCAAGGACCAGGGACAAAAAAAAAACCTATAAAACTTCTCAAGGTTTTGGTTGTAGGGAGTTTGGAAACAGCGAAGGGTGTCGAGAAAGTTCGTTTTGAATTTTGGTTGTCTCCCTTCCTGCTGCTTGTCCCACACAAGTTTTTAATTAAATGCAAAATTGAACATGAGCTCTGTTACCTGGCAAGAACAACAAGCTCGATTTCCAACTGATCTGTGCAGCTCCGATGTAATATCTTTCAACAGCTGGAAGAGCAGAAGGCTGGTCACATGACCAACAGCCACCCACTATGGCTGAACCAGGCTGGTATACTGTGTTTTGCTGTCATGGCTGTATGGTGTGCAGGGATGTACACACCTCCCTGTCACTCCTTGTTAGCGTCACCAGAGAAGCATTCGCTGGATCTGCGTGTCCAGTGGATGCGTCAAGAGCTGTAAATATTTCTGCTCTCATTTCCCAAATTTCAGGGGTAGACAGGTGACATGTTTAACAATGCTATTTTCTCTTGTCACGGGAGAGTGTAATGCAGAAAATATCCGCTTCCCTTCTTTTTCGCATCCCTGTGCTATATGTGTAAAATGAATATATATTTTGGGCTTGAGTCAGGGGTGAAGTCACGCTGAGGGAAACATAACCTTCAGTCCTGAAGGCTGCATTAAGTTCAGGAGCACTTTAAACCCTGCCACCTACAGTATGGCGCCCTCCAATGGACTGGAGGATCAGACCCACTGGGAAGGCTAAGAAAATAACATATAATTGTGTTTTACTGCTACAGATGTTTTTTAAGGTTGGTAAAATGGAATATAATGAGGCACCCAGCACTGATTTGACCACGTAAATTCATCTTCTAACCACTTATCCTGGTCCAAAGAAGCTAGGAGGGAACGTGGAGGAACCATGCAAACGTCACACACAGAAGAGGGGGGGGCAGCGTGGCGTCCTGCGGAGCCACTGTGTCACCCTGTCATAAACCAACATAAGGAATTAACTCTGAGTCGATTACTGTTGTCCAGCCAGAGTTTTGTGCTTTTACTTCCTTGTTGTGAAAAGCTCGCAGAAGAATTTGATTGCCTTAGGCTGATATACCCGCAAAACAAATAACCAGACTTCAATTAGTACATCCTTTATGTTTACGCCGTATAACACTTCAGCAGATTGCAGTTATTTTGGCAGATACTCCATGTATACATCATTTACCACGACGTGATTTAATCAGACCCATAGTCTTGGCATCCCATTTTTTCTTTTTGTGGTTGTTGATATCAACACGACCAGCGAGAGGCTTTATGAAATTAAATTTAAAGTCTGATAGTAGTCATCCAGATTAGAGCCGGAACTTCAGGACCTTTATGCAGCAGAATATTTACCTTCCGTTCTTGATCTATGAGCCGTCACCATATTTTCCGTAAATCCAGCTTCACAACAATAGCACCACAAAACCAACCTTTTAAGCCCCCAGGCCTTGTAGAATGATGGGTCATTTATGGGGTGGTTGTGTCAACAAGGCAGTGCATTGGTAGGCTATCACATAGCTTATCACTGTGATGTCAGTTGGGGGGGGGGGTGGTGTCGTCGTCCCATTACACGTCACCTTCTCTCTAAGAGGTCTGCAATGGAACAGGCCAATACAAGCATTTCTGCTGTCTTTCCAATAATATATTGCCAAATAAATATTATCGGTAAACTTTTTCTCTTGGCTAATACACATGCGACTTAATTTGGAACATGCACGTGTGGAGCTTGCAGGTTCTCCCCGTGTCGTCATGGGGATTCCTTTGGGTTTTGCAGGTTCCCCACCCCCACGTTCCAAAAACACGCTAAGGTGTAACTGCTGAGTCAGCCCTGCGATGGGTTGGCACCCCATCTTGGGTTATTCCTGCATAGGACAAGCGGGTATGGAAAATGGAGGGATGGAAGGATGGATGCAATGGCAAGGAAATATTACATAATATTGACACACAGAATGTGACGGTCAAAGTCAAAAGATTTTAAGAACAAATAAATTCATGATAAATAATTCTGTCAATAAATATGTAGCAAACCTGATTTCGAAGTGATTTCAGCTACTCTATTCATCCTTCTTTCTTGTTATTGGTTCTTCAAAGGGACAGAAGCTTCTTTTTCCGGAGTGTCTGTATATTGTCACCTTGGCTTAGGAGGCATTTACGCAAAGGTAATATGTTTTTTTTGTAATGGATGACATTTTAATAAAGCTTAAATTGATTCTTGGGGTAAGGTTTGTTTTGATAGCAATTATGCTTCTGTTAGCTGCTATGGCTTGTATACTTGAGGTTGCCGCTCTGGTTATATGGGTAATATCCTCCTGCTTGTATACTTGGGGTTGCCGCTCTGGTTATACGTGTAATATCCTCCTGCTTGTATACTTGGGGTTGCCGCTCTGGTTATACGGGCAATATCCTCCTGCTTGTATACTTGGGGTTGCCGCTCTGGTTATACGTGTAATATCCTCCTGCTTGTATACTTGGGGTTGTCGCTCTGGTTATACGTGTAATATCCTCTGGCTTGTCTACTTGGGGTTGCCGCTCTGGTTATACGGGTAATATCCTCTGGCTTGCATACTTGGGGTTGCCGCTCTATTTATACGTGTAATATCCTCCTGCTTGTATACTTGGGGTTGCCGCTCTGGTTACACGGGTAATATCCTCCTGCTTGTATACTTGGCGTTGCTGCTCTGGTTACACGGGTAATATCCTCCTGCTTGTATACTTGGGGTTGCCGCTCTGGTTACACGGGTAATATCCTCCTGCTTGTATACTTGGGGTTGCCACTCTGGTTACAGGGGTAATATCCTCAGCATGCCATAAAGTTTACACGCGGTGACAGACTGAGTTACAGCATGTAACATTATCCTGAGAGAACGCAAATCCTTCAATGTTCCCGTGAATTCTGGCACATTGGTGTTTATGCCGTTTCAGCGCAATGAAATCTTTTCCCATACGCTGCTATTCTCATCAAATTTGGATAGAGAGACTGTTCTGTCACATTTCCTGCTCCTTTCCTGGCTTGCTGTCATGTAAGGAGTTTCGGAGACAGCGTCAAAAATGTAAAATGCAGTCAAGCGTGTTTTCAGGACTGACGTGCGAGTTCATGTATTGCACATCCCAGTGCAATAAAGGTCAACGTTACATTTTGGGGTTGTCTTGGTCCTAGCATTTACTGTCTGCTGTTTTCACAATTAAACATCCAAAATTATATACATATCATTTAAACTGAGTCCTAGAACCATCCTGTCCCCGTAATTCAAACATACTGTACCTTGGGACATTAATTGCCTATAAAAGCTGCATATTTGTTTCCCAGCAAGCTAAGATGGCACACAGACAAATGTACATTTGGTGTAATTCCAAGTGATATTTTGTTTCTCACTCATTGTTGCATTTCAGGACTAGAGTTTAATTCCAGGGGAATAATGTCTTCTTTATATCACCCCTCGCTTGGGTGCAGGTCTGGAACAACCTAAGATGCAGCAGAGGCAGGATTGCAAAAGATTTACGCTGCTAATATATTACAGCATGCATGCGGATCTTAGGCTTTCCCCAGTGGTGCCCACATAACATGAGGTTATCACCAAGCGATTGCTCCGGCCGGTATAGTATGCCATAACTCGCTATTAAGGTTATATATAGACACTAGTTTATGTACATGCAAGCGTGTACAACAGCTAAAATAAACAACTGCATCTTTGTCTCTTTGTTTATTGCTGTCTTTTTAAATTTGCTTTATCTGATAAATTGCTTTTCCCATCTTTCTTTGCAGTTCTCAGGATGATATTTCAGTAAAGTTAGCACATGTCGAGACGAGACGCTACCATTTTTTTCTGTTATTTAGTATGGAAAGGTTTCGGAATGAAGGACGTTCATCCTTTTGATTAAAGATTCTCGGATTCAAATGCTGAATATAATGATATGCTATGGTTTAAGTCGCAGCATGTAGCATTAGCATGTAGCATTAGCATGTAGCATTAGCATGTAGCATTAGCATGTAGCATTAGCATGTAGCATTAGCATGTAGCATTAGCATGCAGCACACGGGAAGTCTCTGGTCCATCTCAGTCCTTTGGCATTTCAGGCACACAAAGCCAGTTCTGGCCATGTCCTGCTGCAGCATTGTGACTTCCCACCTCTGTCCCAGTCACCAGTTTGATTGATGATGCTAAATCTGCAAGAGGCCAAGCTAAGGAGTGGCGGGAAACATCAATCGTGGTTCTCCCAGGCCGTCGGATCACAAACCAACCCCTTGGTGACATGCCCGCGTGGTCAGGTTCTCAGTTCAGCACCAACAGCCAAATCTGCAGAAGAATAATGAAAACAAATGAAATGACTATAAAGGGGAATGATCAGAGATTTAGAGTGAAATAGGCATCTCCGCAAGATTTGGCTAGGGACGTATAAGTGTAGATTAACGCTGCCCCCCTGTTAAAGCCCGTAGTTAGATACCACGTTGGTCGTAGGATTTTTTTTTTTCTTATTCATTTGGCCGCTGGGATGTTGTCTTTTCGGAAGTGGATTTTTTGGGTCTAATCCTTTGTGTTTCCTCAACAGCTCTCTCCAGAATGACAATGACGACGACGAGGTGACAAACAAAACGTGGGTGCTGACTCCGAAGGTCTACGAGAGTGACGTCACGCACATTTTGAACAGCTTGCTAGATGGCTATGATAATAAGCTGCGACCGGACATAGGGGGTACGTATTATTATTATTGATATTATTATTATTATTATTATTATTATTATTATTATTATTAGAGGCTGCAGTACGTATGATGGCTACCCAGTTCTCATTCCCTGAAATCCCCAATCAAATACGAAAATAACCAAATTTGAAAATAAACTTTTGTGAACATTAAGAGGAACATTGTTGTTTTCAATAAAGTCACCAACTTTGACTTTTCGAAGGATGCATGACTTTTCAAAGGTTTCAGTGGTTTTCAAAGGTTTGTATGGTGTGGATTCCTGACACTTAGGCCTGACACTAAAACCCTAAAATGCCTAATTCCAAACTGTGGCACATCGTTCAGTAACTGCAGAGACTTTGACCCATATGACTTCCTGTTGTTCATTCCTGCATCGTACAGAAATAGCTCTTTGTCCTATTGTCCCCCAATGCACCAGTCCCCTCAATTCAATTAACACTCAATTCAATTAAATTCAATTAATTTTTTTATATCGCTTATCACAAGAGAGTCAGCCCAAGGCGCTTTACATGGGTGTGTCGTGAAGTATTACAACATCATTAAGACAGAGCAATACAAAAACACGGAAAAAGAAAGACAAAGAAAAGAAAGGGAAAAGAAAGTCAAAACCTTCCAAATAGGGAGAAGAAACACCTCTGGGGGTCCAAGATCACCTACCCCCCCCCCCCCCCCGGGGATGCTAGTATTATAGAAAAAGAGAAGAGTGGACTGGAAGGTGGAGACTGTGGTCAAGGTCCAGCCAAAGTCCATCAATGAGTCAGTTCTCCATGCCGGCCTGTGACTGAACCAGTACTCAGGTGAGATGGTGCCCACCCTGGGCACCGTCCGGACATGTGGGAAGGCAGAGGGCATGGCTGGTCAGAACGTGCAGAGGCACATTAATGGACAAGCAAAGTAGATGATAGTGGCATGTACAGCAGCCCCAGCAGCCATAGTTATGCTGTGTTAGGTTAGGTTGTCAGTAAGCTAAACTGAAGTAATAGGTCTCCAGTCGAGATTTAAAGACTGAAGGATATGGCATCCCGAACATAGGCTGCGAAACCACTTCACAATATAGGGGCCCTATAGCAGAATATTTTACCACCAACTGTCACTTTATTTTTATGTGGAACGACAAGGAAACCTGCTCTCTGTGAAACTTTAAGTAATTCTGTTAGGCAGGCAGGTGCTAGACCTTTAAGTGCCTTATATGTAGGTAGAAGAACTTTGAAGTCAGTCCTGAACCTTACAGGAAGCCAGTGCATGGAACTAAGAGCAGGGGATGTGTACAAACTTCCTGCTATCTGGTGACGATTCCAGCTGCTTGCATTTTGAATACGCTGCACGGTATTTGGTGTGGTGTGTGTGTGCTGCCAGATAAGAGCATTACAGTAGTCTAACCTTCTGGATACAAAGGCATGTATCAATTTCTCAGTGTCTTGAATAGTAAGGAATCGTCATAGTCTGGCAATGCTGTATAGCTGTAGGAAGCACATGTTCGATATTGCATCCACATACGATTTGAATGAGAGGCTTGTATCTAATATGCCGCCTAGGTTACGGGCTGAGCTGCTGAGGGATTGACGCGGAGATTATAGCATTCCTATCTGCAGACCTGCCTCCAGACAACAGGATCTCAGTTTGCTGAGCATTTAATGATTAAAAAGTTTTCAGTCATCCAGGTAAAGCAATTAGCTCTGACAATAGATGCGACGCCATTAGGCGTGACTGAGGTGTATATTTGGGTGTCGTTGGCGTCGGAGTGAAGATTAACATTTTCTCATTATGTTGCCTAATGTAGAGAGAAAACAAAGGACCAAGGACTGATCCCTGTCTATTTAACTGGTGACAGTTATTCAGCACTTGAACATATTGATATATTGATATTGGTTTGTCAAATAGGACTTAAACCAATTCAACACCATTCCACACAACCTGACATCAAATTTAATTCATGGGGGTAAAATGGTGTCGAAGGCTGCACTAAGGTCCAGAAGCATTAGCACAGTCGCGCTGTCAGCCTCAGTTGTCATTGTTATGTCATTTACGACTTTAGTTAAGGCAGATTCAGTGCTGTGTTCCGGACGGATGCATGACTGGAATCTACCCAGTATATTGTGTGCCAAGTATGACTTAAGATGAGCAGCGACTATCTTCTCTAGAACTTTGGACAAGACTGGTACATTAGAGACAGGTCTGTAATTGCTGAGCTGCTGTGGATCCAAACTTGGCTTCTTCAGTCGTAGTCTGATTACTGCTACTTTAAATTTGTCAGGTACATCGCCGGAGGACAGGGACACATTCATTATGGCAGTTACAGATCTTGTCAGATCTCCCAGGGATTCTTTAAGAAGTTGAGTGGGGATTGGGTCCAGTGGACAAGTGACTGGTTTGGTTTTAGTTATTGTTTTTAACTCCTGTTCATAATTCAAAAACATTAATGGTTTGTGCACGTTGTATTTTCATTGGAGATATTTGTAAGCCATTTGAACATGTCTGAACTCTAGTGTTTGTAATTAAGAAGTCCATAGAATGTTCACTACAAATATTACTTGGTAGCAGAGGGTTCAGCCTTTTCTGTAAGACGAGCTGTTGCTTCAAAAAGATAGCGAGGGTAATTTCTATTGCAATCAATAAGGTCAGAGTAATATGCTGAAAGTGCCCTATAAAGGGTGTGTTTGTATTGTTGTGGGCTGTCAGACCATGCCAGCCTGAACCCTTCTAAGCCCGTGGATTTCCATTTGCGCTCCAATCTGTGCATTAATAAATCATACAGAATTTCGATCATTTAGGTGACGTGTCATAATAATCTTCTCTGTCATAGTGAAAGGGGGCGGCTGAATCACAAAGGTGATTAGAAAATGGTCAGAGGAGGACTTATTCCATAGACATACAGATGCATGGTGAACATAGACTCCATGAGTGATAATCAAGACTAGGGTACGGTTATGCACAAGCGTTAGTCCAGGAGGGACAGGAAGTCAGTAAGAATTTCCCCAAATTCAGCCATAAACAAAGTGTGTGATCCCGGTGGTCTGTATACTATAAAAATATAGATGTGCAACCTGCACATCTATATTTTTATAGTATACAGACACCGTGTGATAGACACCATGTGAACTAGTATTGCTTCAAATGTTGTAAAATCTTCTAGAATTTTGAGTTCAACTTTTAACATTGTATTAAAAATAGATGCCAGGCCGCCCCCACACTCAGAGCCACGTGGTTTCTGTACGAAACTAAACCCGTCAGGTGAGGCTTCGACAAGAGGTATAGTGTCTGTGGCTCCGAGCCAGGTTTCGGTTAAACAGCACAGGTCTGCACCAGTGTCCAGCACCACATCATTAACAAGTGATTTGTTTCCTAAAAAGCGAACGTTCAGTAATGAGCATTTTATGGTGGGTTTGTGTTGTGGCTCATTTAATCTTATCAGTGGGATTGATATTAAGTTATCCACACAGGAGCCCCCAGTGGAACGTTTAGATCTAAGTCTTGGTCTAATAATAGTTACTATATTCTTTCTAGGCTCATTCAATCCTTTTTCTAAATTGTTGGTAGATTTAAGGATTGCCGTGTTATGGAGAATGTAGGGTCATAGCAAGACATGAGCGAAGGGTGGAAGAATGAACAGCCTTAAGATCTCAGTTGTGCTCTCAGTCAGACAGGTGAAATACTTGCCCTGTTTTGGGATAACATAAATGATCCCCTCCAATTAGGATGGAGGCCGTCCCATTTATAAAAGCCAGGCCGTTCCCAATAAAGGTCCCAGTTATCAATGAAGTCTATGTTTGGAGATGCACACCAAGTCTCTAACCAGCGGTTTAGGGAAAGTAGCCTAAGATTGGTTACATCCCCTCTATGGCACACCCCCTGCTACCATGGCACAAGCATTTTATTTTGTTCCTTGGAACACAACTGACAATAAAACTTGAACATGTGACAACAGGACTTGAAATAAATATGATGATGTCGTCACACAGTCACCCATTAAACATACTTGATTTGTCACACCACGCCATTCCATGCGACAGTTTCAGGAATGGTTTGATGGTTGTTAATATGCAGAGACATTCACACAGGTCATAATCAACAGTCACTATCCTCGTGTCATAAATCTTCTGTAATATTTGGCTCCTTTCACTCTGCGGATTCTGGAAAAACACCTATTATCGCACGAGTGGATTTATTTCTCTCGTAACAGTATTGAATTTTTTATTATCCAAAAGTACGCAGGGGATGTTGCGCGCATCATGTTTGTATAATTTCAGCCATGACTCATACCTCCCTACTCCCATTGTGTTTCTGCCACTATCAATTATTGAATTAGACGCCAGGAAATAAATCTGGACATGTCCTAATCTGTGTGGCAGGGCAGCGTAATATGTTAAGCAGCAGGACTATATATCAATGTGTCTTCCCGTTAAAAAAGTACTCTGTCTCTTTGGTGTTAGCGTTTCACATTTATCAGTAGGACCACGCGATGGTTCGTTGGTATAGTGAAACTCGGGCTGCACAATATGGCGACCAGTGAGGCGAGATGGGATGCTTCAGAAGATCAGAGCCCAGGATTATACCGATCTGTCAGTCACTGTCTGATTTAACCCAACAGGGAACCGGCAAAGAGAGTGATGGGGGAATGGGTTAAACCACTCGGTGACTGACAGCGACGCACTAATCCCGCCCACTGGCATTTCTCCAATCGAGCTTCCCTGACTGGCCCTTAACGACGAAATGCCGTAGCGCAAATCCATTTGTGCAGTTTCCTCAAAGTGCCGACACCTTTACCCGGCTGATATTTTCTCGCGCGGCTTGACAAATGCTTTCGGGGGGGGGGAGCGACGACGACGACTCGGATTTATTGAAGTCTCTTTGCAGTGAGCTTAGGCTGTCTGAACCTTCCTTTCTACTGCTTTGTGACAGCTGGGCTCTAGCTGGGCCACCATTAGTGCCAGAGGTCAGTGGGAATAAATGTGTTATTTATGCAAAAGCCTCCAGGCTGGATAGCTGTGATTTTTAGCATCATTCTCACATATTTAATAACGTATTTTGTTATATAGTTATATCGGAACATAACATTGGTTGCTATTTCATATATACTATTCCTTTCTTAATTGAAGAGCAAATTTCGTTTTTTGAGAAAATGTTTGTGCACTTCTCGGGATTTTATGTGGACTTTTGGAATCGTTACCAAAAGTTCTTTGTTGGATTACATTCGGACAGAGGGAGTTTTGTTCCCAAAACCGTAACATATGGGGAAGCCTGACTTTAGGTGATCGGTCTCATCTCAAAACCGCAAATTAAAAAATCGGACTGAGTTTTCAAATGAGCTCTTTAGTTGTGCCCCAAAAGTGCTTTTGTCCCATGCAAATGAATCATCCTCCAAATGAGGTCCTGAACTGCAAAAGCATGTGTGTGTTTCGCTGACCAACTGTAGTCCAGTTGAACCCGATTACAGTTTTGCTTAAAATAAAGTGATGTGGGAGGCAGCCAGTGTGGTGAATGTGCTGTTGACTGCAACATAAAACCTTAAGAGATGTGCACACTGGAACCACTGGAACTAACCGTAAAGTATGCCCTCTGTTTTTTCCCTGATTTCAGTGAAACCAACTGTAATCCACACCGATATGTTCGTGAACAGTATCGGCCCAGTGAACGCTATTAACATGGTAAGTCAGTCCTTCTTTACCAGAGATCCCAGCATATCTGAACAAGCTACAGACAAACTGCAACATGTTCCCAACGTTTTGGAGCAGAGGGTGATGCTGTAATCGTTCATGTTAAATTATTTACCGTGTTCATTAACTCAGAGCAAATGTTTCAGACAAACATTTTAATAAGCTTGATGTCAAAGCATGTGCTTCTGTTTGTTCTAAAGAACTGAAGAAATAACTGAAATACCCAAAATTTAATTTGATTAAATTGACAGTATATTAAAAAAATCCTTTCAGGAAAAAAATGTGCAATTTTGTATTTCACCACTTGATTATTACGCAGAACAATGTAGTAACGGTTAATTATTGCTCAGCAAATCCTGCTGCTCTTGTATGATTACAGTAACTGGTTTGCCATGTCATCAGAGAGCACACACTCGCACACAATCACACACGAATCGGCAAGTTTTTTTTTTTGTAGATGTCAGGAGGAAAGCATAAAGCCGTAAAACAATGGGCCATCATAGAAACAGGGAGGTTGCTGGATTATAATATTTTTAAGTACAGTGTGACTCATTCGGTTCCAGTTTTTTTTTTTTTTATGTATTACTCAATCAGCTGAAAGCTGATTGGTCCTCGGAGTGACCCCTCCCCATTGCTCACAAATTAAAAACATCATTGGCTAGTGATAAATTTGGTCCCTCTTAATGAATTATTGGTTCTCTTGTGCCTCCCTCCTCCCCCCCCCCACCTTAAAAATTCTAGAATTGCTCTTGGCTGTTTTGTCCTGCACAGAAATAAAACAGACACACACACACACATATGTATGTGTGTGTGTGTGTGTGTGTGTGTATGTATGTATGTATGTATGTATGTGTATATTATATATATATATATATATATATATATATATATATATCTCCTTACATTATTTAATTTGGAATCAACAAAGATTTATGGGAAAACTGGAACTGCACTTTTATAATTTGCTTAGGTCAGCTTCTTAGCTTCAACAAATTGTTCAGTTGGGGTGTATTTATGGCCAGCCACAGCATTTTCTTTTTTTCCATATAGGAGTATGGCATCATTGTTTCTTTTTTTCATATTTCATTACATTGGCAAAGGGATGAGATCCGATTTGCGTGTGGCGACTAAGCTGTTATCCGCGAGGGCCGGGCCGGAGCTTGACGCATGGCCGCGGCACTCGAGGTTCCACAGATACAATCTAGATGAATGAGACGGAGCTTCCCCGAGCCGCGATTGCCTTTCGCTCCATTTATATGTTCTTCCCAGATGTCACACGAGACAGTCAAAAATAGCAGTTTTAGATGTGTTTGCGAGACAGAATCGCTCTTCCGCACCCTTACTTTTATCCGTTTCATTTTGATATGGGAGAGCTAATATTTATGAATGTAGATGAATGAGATGGGAGTTTGCCTCAGTTTTTGATTGGGCGGATTGTGATTTAAATTGCCACGGAAATCGTGTTTTATTTAACGGCATATATGACGCACATGTGCAGCTCGTTGTCTGGCTGAGCTCTGCAGCAATGTAAACTTTTCATACCTCTGCTTGCTCTCACACCCAAATCCCTAGCATTTACCCAGCATTTCACGCCCATTACGATTGCGGAAAGTCAAAATAACGCTAAACGGAATGTCCTGCAACCTCCCTTCTTTGCTTGTCATTGTGCTGTTTTGGGTGGGCATTCATAACACGACCTCTAAGGTTGGTCTCTTAGCGAAACATGTTTAATAATAATAGCAAGCCATATTATGGTGACCCAGACAGAAGCTGCTTTAGGAGGTGTCTTCTCTGAGCTCGGGGAGGCCATTCGTTGTCCTCTTAGACCTCTTATTCTTGGGTGGAAAGATTCAAGGTTCTTCAACTCAACTGAGTGATTCATCGGGGGGCAATGGAATGTTAGCAGAAAAGTCTCTTTTTGCTTCAAGAACACATACGTATTCTGTGGGTTATAGAATGTCATCCTCTAGTCGTTAACAAAGGACTTTATCTCTGGATATGTCATTTAAGAATGACATATACATTAAGCTTGTATTTGCTATCATTTTGCTTAAGAATAATTGTGATTCAGTTGTGGCCCAAGGCAGCAAGTTCAAATTCTTTGATAGACTATAACATAAAATTTACGTCAATGTGTATTGAGTCCCAAGGACACAGATTAGCCATGGTTCTCTTTCTTGTAACTTGACGTGTGAAGTTTTCATCCAGTGGCCATTTAAGCAACTAGATGTTTTATCATAGCAACTGTAATTTGAGTGTCCTTCTCCAAACATTCAGGTACAATGAGCCAGCGGCCTTTGACCAACATGAAACCCTATGCTACCAATAATTGTTAATGTCACTTCCTGTCGCTATCTCAAACAGGAGTACACCATCGATATATTCTTTGCCCAAACGTGGTACGACAGGCGTCTGAAATTTAACAGCACGATGAAAGTGTTGCGACTCAACAGCAACATGGTGGGCAAGATCTGGATCCCCGACACCTTCTTCCGCAACTCCAAGAAGGCCGACGCGCATTGGATCACTACACCCAACCGCATGCTGAGGATCTGGAACGATGGCAGGATCCTCTACACCTTGAGGTAAAGCTTGTATTTGTCATTTAGAGGGGGCTTGGGACAGAGCGGATTTAGGTTATATAAGGAAGAGGATTCACAGTAGTTCGTCCTTGAATGACAGTGAAGGATTCTGTGCGATTATTGGTGAAACATGATAGGTTGACGTGCTGCTGGGTGTTCCTCTTCCTGATTCATATTCACCCCTGAGCACTGTGCGCGATCTTGGACAAGCGGCACTTCGACACGGGCTGGAATGCAGCGTCCTCCTCATGAGGCTAACGAGAGGCCCGTGATTGATGCTCCTATTTTTCAGCTAAGACCTGACCGCGAGCTTTTAATTGCGGCCAGATAATGCTGAAAGAAATATGACATGACAGGATGAAAATGCATGAATGGGAGGCGATATTTCTGTGTCACCGGATAGCGGCGGCGACGTTCACCCCGCATGTACTGCGAACGGCTGCTTGGATTGCTCCACAAAGCCCCTCCCCCCTCCAAGCAGATTCAAGGCTGACTGGACTATCTCAGGGAGATGGTGGGGGGGGTCACATCAGCTGCTCACCCCTAACCGGCCTTGTTTTCTACGTTCAGGTTGACCATCGATGCCGAGTGCCAGCTTAAACTGAACAACTTTCCGATGGATGAACATTCCTGCCCCCTGGAGTTTTCAAGCTGTAAGTCTGGCCTCATGCTCACCCGCGTTCAGATGTGAGCACAGTTAGGGCGGCGGCAGAAGCCAAGAACGGCCCCCTATACCTTGTTGATGAAGCCATCATTACGTTAACTGGAGCTGCTTGCCCAGTTTCCGTTCCTTACTCCACAGGCCATTGCACACATAGGTCTGCAAAGAGAAATCAAGGGACCACGCTTGATTTCAGATGAACACAATTTTTTTGTACTTTGTCTTCTTGGACAGGGGCAGGCAGATGGGTTATAGGGTGTTCTAAGTCGTCGTGTAGTATTACAGTTAAGGGGACAAACACCAAATTTTCAATGTTAAAAGCTCCAGAGAGAGACAACAGGGAACAGCTCAAAGAATGGAAAATTGTGTTCATTTATCATCCAACCACTTATCCAGTATAGGGAGCTGAGATTCTATCCCAGGAAGTAGAAAGGCCAGGGACGTTTTGAATGGGATGTTGGGCTGTCACAGGACACACACAGTTTAGAGCAGGGCTCTTCAACCTTACTTATGATGAGAGTCACTTTAAAGACAATAGTCTGCAGAGCTATATGGTTGATATAGTGCAAGATTATGTCAAGTGGGGTGACGATAACTGTTGTTGACCGGGAGGGAGGGGGAGGATATCCAATTGGCAAGCCAATTAAATTTTGTCTTGGAGAGTTAAATCCCTTGTGGTACATCAATGTACACATGTATAAGCAAAATAAAATGAACTAAATTAAGGTAATTGATCCTTTTTCTAAAAAGTGTTACGGGAGTTAGTCATTGGCTCCCTGCGAGCAACTGTGTACTCACGAGCGACACATTGGCAAGTCCCTCTTTCACCTAACTGCAGATTTTGTGGGTGTAGGAGGAACGCCATGCAGCGCAGGGAGAAAAGTCTCCCTGCACATATTGTAGGGATTCAAAGTGTCCCCCCCCGAGGTTGTAGTAGTATAAGTGCCATGCTACCCAAGATATCTGTATCATAACAACTGGTATTTATAAAGCTAATGAAAGACTTGGCTCTCTCTGGTGCCTGGAATGGAATTAGATGCAGTGCATGAGGTGCTGCATGACACGGCGGATTGTGTGTGCATTTATAAACAGCTCTCCTAAATGGCTGCTTGGCGGAGTGCTCTCATTTTTCAGTAAGGAAAATGCAGATCAATAATTCATTCCTAAGGGAAACCGACAGAACGATGGATGGAGCCTCATCACCGAGGGCTCTTGAGAACCTCCTGACACCATTCCAAACAGCCGTGACTTAAAGGCTCATCATTCCCCAATTACAGAGCGCCCATGGGCTCTTCAATTAAAAAGCCCATTAGCCGGGCCTTCTGCGGGGTTTATACCGCATAACACGTCACCTGTTCGCTGTGCGATCGCCCCTGGGCGCCCTGAGGGCCGCAGCTGGAGTGAGGACTTTGCGGGCAGAGAGCGTCGCAATGCAGCCAACATGCGGCAAACCGCCGCCTCTCTGAGTTGGCTCGCGGTTTTTTGGTTTCACCCGGCGACGTTGCGCCAACACTTTGAGGTTTACCTTGTTGCCCGCGGGAGGCTTTGGACCGGATAGGCTCTCCCAGTCGCCAGTGTCCCCCTCTCCTCCCTCAGATGGCTACCCCAAGGAGGAGATAGTCTACAGGTGGAAGAGGAGCTCCGTGGAGGTTGGTGACATCCGTTCCTGGAGGCTGTACCAATTCTCTTTCGTTGGACTGAGGAACACGTCGGAGATCGTGAGGACAGTGTCAGGTACAGGCTGCTTAGGAATCGATTGCTTTTCACATTATCTGTGTTCTGGTTCGTTTCACTCTAACATCCACCCATCCATCCATCCATCCATCCATCAAGCAATCTATCCATCCATCTTTCAGCTGCTTATCCACTAACAGGGCCCAGGAGGGTCTATTCTGGACAGTGTAAGGATACAAAGCAAAATGAAACCTGGGATGGAATGCCTGTTAATACTGAACAGTCATTATAGGTAAATAAGCAGAAATTGAATTCACCACGCTGGTGCACAGGACAACATTAGAGAGTTTTTTTTTTTCTCTCTTAGATTTATTAACATGCACCCTGTCAAAACAAATGATTACCTGAAAGACATAATGGCATGTTGTGGAGGTTCCATTCGTGTTTTAGCATGTAGCTTTGTGAGGTAGCCTCTGGATTTGTTCAGTGTGGCGTGTCAGCATCAACCCCCCCCCCCCCACACGGATGCTCTGGAGACACTTCCTAAAGCAAACATCCCTATTTAGATTCATCAGCATCTTTTTTTTTTTTTTTTTCTGGCAAATAACAATGAAAATGTCTCAGAAAATGAAGTCTAGCCTCAAACTCAAAGGGCATCCTATAAATCATTCTGTTTAATCGGTCAAGGTACGGCAAGGCTCGCTAAATGATGTATATCCTCTAAAGACGTTCTAGAAGCACGCACTATGATTTTCCATTATCGTAAATATGATAAGCACTCTTGTGGTTCCACCATAACAGCAAGTATGAAGCATTTTAAAGAGATATTTTTATTTGTTGGTCTTTTAGCTGTTAGCTTGGATGATTATACTGCCCAACAAAGAGTTTGTCACAGAGCAAGTAAGGGGTGCATTTTATGTACTATTTGTACATTTTATGCTATTATTTTTGCTCTCACTCGTGGTTTTTGAGTGACATAATTTTCAGGCTATATTGATAGTATATAATTCCTTATTAGGAATATATGGGTATATTAAAGTTTCAGGAAAAAATATTTTATTTTTATGAACATTTTTAAGGCTTTACAGAAGGATGCAAAGTACAGTCGACCCTTCGGCGTCGCGACTTTCCCCGTCGTGGTTTCGGTATATGTCGAAGTCAGCATAAGAAATGAAATGGGAATTTTTAGGACACTTTGGGGATTTTGCGAAAGCGGCAGACGACATCTGAAGGCCAAGCATGTCAAGCATGTTTGCAGCAGCCTCTCGTGTGTGTGTGGGGGGGGGGTGATCTGTGCCCCTAACAGACTGTAACACGTTTGGACATATTGAGACAGGGTCCTGCTCTCTGTCTGATATCGCAAAAAAAAATATCCAGGTGAGTGTGCTTGGTGAATTCTGCTGGACCCTTAAGAGGGATGTTCCTGAGATCCAGTACAGCAGAAAAATCATACACTTCTACCTTTAATATAAATCACTTCCACCATGCACATATGCTATAAATATATATAGCATTAAGTTCAATTGTATGTCACTCAAAATCCTTGCATGATAGAGAAATTCCGATCAGATATTTGAATTCAGCCCAGAAAATGGAAGAGTCACATATGCTGATTCTTCCACGTAGCTTCTCCACTGCAGTGGGTTTAAATCCCTGTTTTTGCACAGCACCCTCCAACACTTCTTGCATAGCTGGCATAAACATTAAGCGCGCTCTCTGTTTCGGTGGCTGCGTCTGTGGAGAGACATGCAAACATGGTGCCTGAACAGGTCACTGTGCTCAGTCTCTCCTTGGCAGCCATGTACTTCCGAACAAAATCGCAAATGACAATAGGAAAGAAAATCATCGTTAATATTTTATGACTGATCATTGTTTTTATTATAGTGTGAAATTTTCATCTTAACCATGCCTGGTTTCTTGTTAGTGCCCAGGATCTGCACGGGGGCTGAGGGTGTGAACGTGCGCTTAACATGCGTCGTCCAAAGAAACATCAGAAAAGTGAAAATGCGATCGGAGAGCGACACTATCCCCCCCCGAGGCATAATTTAGCTGTTTTCCTTGCCACCTGTGCCACCAAAACATGACGCTACGTTCCTCACCTCACACCAGTAACGTACACCAGTAACGTACACCAGTAACGTACACCAGTAACGTAGACCAAGCTACAGTCTCCCACGTGGTGTGTGAAGGTAACACTTAATGCGTCCCTGTTGTTCTGTAGAGACGTTCTGGCCACACGTTGTAATTTATTAGCATTACTCTTGCATATATCTCACATAATTGTTGGGAAAGACAAGGATTTGTAACCCAGAGCTGAGGAATCCATGCAGATTTAGAGCAAATGCTACTCAGTGGCTGGGATAATAGTTTGCTTTTTTTGTGTCTTGTAAAGTAATTCTCCTCTTCTGTGAGTGTTGTGTCTCTTTTGATCATACTGTCTTTTTTGATGGTTTGAAATGTAACATAAGGTTTTGTCTGGGTGTATTTCAGTCTCACCTGTTCTAACGCTATTTACAGTCCTGTCCGCTTTCGTCGGAGGCCGAGATTCTTATGCCATTAGTGTTCTCCTTGCTCACCTCGCGCTCTCTCTCTCTCTCTCTCTCTCTCTCTCTCTCGCTATTGAGTCTCTGGACCCATTTGCGACAAATATCCCTGCAGGGCTCAATCCAGCTCACCCTCCTGGTGTTGTCTGTCAGTGCCAATCAAAGGAGCAGAGGTGGCTAGTCCAGGTCCAAGAAGTACAAATCCAGACCAAGATTTTGTTTCAATCAAAGGGTTCAGTACAATGTGATTGTAACTCTTCATACTCAACTGTTTGGTTGAAACCAAATCTTGGTCTGGATTTTTACTTTCTCGACCTCAACTCTCCACCTCTGCAAAGGATCCACAGTGAGGACAGATATTGTTAAAAATAAACATTTTTCTGACTGGGCCCATGATTCCATATGGGATTATTGCACCATTAATCTCTTTGGGGATAGAGTGATGTATCTAGACAAGGGGCATACACAGCTGATTGGCTCCCAGAGTCCTCCCTCCCCTGTCACTCACCAATTCAAAACATATCTTTGGTTGATAAGGTTTACCCCTCTGTATGAATTATTGCCTCTCTTATACCTCCCATCTTAAAAAAATCATAGAGTTGCCCCTGGTGTGGACTGGGGATAGAAATCTCATTGCTTAACAGTCAAGGCAGACCAGAGAGGCCCACATTTACTCAAGACAGGTTTCAGTAGCGGTATGGTGGCAGTGAGCAATTAGCAGATATTTATTTACTAAGTAGCATAGTCAGAAAGCACCTTCCGGATTTTGTTGCAGAATATCAGAACTAACTGCTCGGACAAATGAGTTTAAAATGCGCTGTTAAACAGGGCCAAGGGGGGGCTCCAGGAAATGGAAACGGATCACCGGATCATCTGCTGGCCCCTTCCTTTGGTTCTGTTAACCACTTTCGATTTTGACGCCGAACGTAATGGCAAATTTATTTTTGTGCAGGCTATTCGCATAATGACCTTGTAGACTCCGACGTGGCCCCCTCCCCCCACCCCACCCCATTGTCTGTGTTCATCGATCTGTGTGATTTAGCTACAGGGACTGCAGCCTTAGGATCCATCAGCATCCCTCCCCTCTCAGATTACAGATGCCCACAGTTTACAGGTCAGATGTTCGGCAGGACGAATCCGGAGCCGCCGTGACTAACAAGCAGAGCCGCGCGCTGAGCGCGTGCAAACATCCAGGCTGTGTTCCATTCAGGGCTTATTCGTGGAATGCCGAATGACGCATCCGACCACTGGCATCCCCGTTCTTACAGATCTGGAGTGTACTTCTCCTCTGCAGTGGATTTAATCCCTGCGTTCTCCCTCCACTCTCCAACGCTTTTTGCATAGCTGGCATAAATATTCGCCGTGCTCCCCGTTTCGGTGGATACGTCGATACAGAAATGAATTGCATATAGGGATATTAAAAAATGTGTTTATACGTGATGCATTGTGAGAAAGGAACGAAGGAGAGGGAGACGTCCAGTGGGTGCTAGAACATTTTCAAATCTGCATGTATCCAAAGTCTCCCAGGAGCACAAGACAGGTAAACCATAACTCCAATAGAGCCCAAAGCTTTAGAGCTGCTGTAACATGAGAGAACCAAACACTCGAGCTCCACCTGTACAGGGACAGTATTTTCAGTTATGGGGAAGACACCAAAAAACCCATTCCCCCGTGCTGTTTTTTTTTTTTTTAAACATGTCCCTTGCTATATAAAGCATGAGAAAGCCTCAGTAAAACAGAAAAACAGCCCCTTAAGCTGAATACAGGGAGAGCGAATTGCAGTGCCTTTTCCGGGCAGGCGCAGCACGCCAGCGGAGAAGCATAGCTCTCACTATGCAAATGAAGTGCCCTGTTATTATTTATTAATATGGAACAGCTATAATAAGAAGCCATCCTCAGTCTATACACTTCCCAGCTTCCCCTTGTCAACAACTTAGGTCGGGAGTCACTGACAGGAACTTTTTAATATGGTAACGGCTAATTTTATGGTATTTTTGCTACACTCCATTACCCCATGTAACCATTCAGCAATTAACACACAATCACCGAGGTCTCTGATAGGCTTGGGTGAAATTACAGCATTGGGAAATGGCCTGCACTTTTCCTCCCCCCATTGGGCATGGCCTGCGCACGAGAAGGTTCCCAAGGCTTCGCCGGAGATCAGGCTGCTCCTCTTATGGGAGGCGGGCACCTGGTATGAGAGGCAGAGGGCTCCCTGTGACATCAGCGATGTGCTGAGATGGGTCCACTGGGAAAATAAATGGAGCATAATGTAGTGCTCAGATTCGTGGTCGTGGATGTTTGGGACGTTAGCGGCCGCCTTATAAAGGAATCAAGTCTGTTTATAGTCGCCATTTGTGCAGCTTCAGATGTAGCTATTTGTGGCGGGGCCTGCGTATGTCATTGGTCTAATAACCAAATCTCCAATCAGATCCCAGAGTTGGCAGAGTGATTTCGCCATTGGTTGCTTGAGGAAGGCCTTTTACCCCTAGCTGCTCCTGCATTCACAAAAAATGTATGTTGCCTTAAAAAATGTCTGCTTATTAAATAACATGCTAATGCAAATCAGGAGATTTAGTTCCTTTGATGTGTAAAGGTCCAGCTGCCCCCCCCCCGGCCCTCGAGCCGCGGACAGGAGTGCATTGTGTTAAGTGGCCATTGGGAGTCTACACACTGCGAAATATGGTGGCATGTTGAAAGAGAAGCTACTTCTGATTCAATTGCCCGTCTTCATTGGCCCCATTCTGCTGATCCTATACAGTACAAGACCGGAACCTATGCAGTAGGTTCAAAACACACTACCAGTCAAGTACAGAGTCTAAGAGAGGTAGGGGAGTAGTTGGACTGAACTAGTCCTGTGAAACCCTCTGCCTGTGGGAAGCTGACACCGTAGGACAAGGCTAAACCCAACTGATGCTCACATGATGCCTGCAAGAACACCATTACTCAAATAACGCTCGCACGTTCTTTTGTGGATAATTTTGACGAAGATCCAAATTCGCGAGAGCACCGCCAACACCATCCTGTGACTGGAGATATCTGGAGAGCCACGTAGATCATCGCTGTAGAGACAGGGAGGCCGGAGGGTGCAGCGGAGAGCAGCGGAAAGGCTCCAGAGACCCCTGAGCCAGCGGAGTGCGCATGCATGTCAGCTAGCAGCCGCAGACGGCGCAGTGCGGCATCCCTGCCGCACCGAGTCCTCCACACATCTTTACTAATTATAACCGGCCTTTTGAAATGCAGATCTTTCCGAACACGTCCGGGATTAGGATTAGCATTCCATCAGCATTCCGATTGTTCCACAAAGATCACACTCTGCTAAACCATTTAGACTGGATCGAACGGAAGAGATATCTATATATTTACCATTCGTGTGTCTGTGTGTGAATGCATTGTCATTGTATAAAATATATATTTAACATAATTACACGTGGTGATAATGTAGCTGCGCCCTGTTACATAAGCCCAGTAGGAGCTGTATCTTTCATGGCATGAATAAACACACACTCACCGTTTTAGAAGGACTAACCTAATTTTCAGAATGCCCAGAGACAGCTATCCCCTCTAAACTGAGTCCAACAGAGACAAAACCAAATGCATCACACGTGCGGAACGTCACATCAGTACCAGAATCGGATCCAGGCTGTACGCAGGGAAGCAATGTCAAACTTCCCGTTACGAATACAATTAATTATGTCGAGTGAGGGAGAGGTATTGGTCTTGAGGTGAGGTATAAAAAAAAAAAAAAAAAACAGGCAGCTAGACTATGGTGGAGACTGGACTTGTTTCCATGGCGACGCGATTACGCAACCGGGACCTTCAGCTGACAAGACACGGCTGGCTAATGACAGCCTGTCAGCAGGGGTGAGGGGTCACCGGACGTCAGGCCAAACCCACGATTCCTGGGCCCCCTGCCGCTGCAGCGGGGCTGAACCACGCCGTCAAGGCTCCATCCCAGGGGAATTTTCCTACAGCCTGTGCATTCTACCTGAAATAGCAGCTCGGCATTTATCACTATCCAGTGACCTACATCAGAATGTTGTTTTTTTTTTAAATCCTTAGATTCTCAGTGCACAGCCATCACTGGACAGCAGCTCAGACAGCGACGATATTTGCTAAAGTCTCTTTAATGACGTGGTTTCGTCAATCTCTGTCCCAGAACATGAAAAGTTCTTTAGTAAAAAGACCAGATTACAGCAGATTGGGTGAGGTCCCTGCAGGGAATGGAATATTTCTGCGATTTTTCCTGATGATTTTCGCTAATTCTTTTTTTCTGTTTTGCCCTTTAAGGACTGAGAGTTCTCGCATAACTCCTGGCTGTAACGTGAACCTCGCATCATTTAATTACTGTGCGAAGTAAATACACACACAAACAGCTGTTCCGTTGGCAACGCCAAGGATGATTTAAAATTGTCGTAAAGCTCGGTTTGATTAAATAAACATCCCCAAGGCTCACAGCGGCAGCAAAAAGCAAAACGATCAAAAAAAGAACTATTAGAGTAGAGACTTCTGCGATCGATATTTAGACCCATGTTTCCCAATCCGATCCTCAGGGACCCACAGTCGGTCCATGTTTTTGCTCTCTCCGAGCTCCATACCAGACAGTTCACGTCCTTCTGTGAGGCCCCAAGGACCAGATTGTGAAAAACTGATTTAGACTATTCTTCTGTAACAGAGTATTCCATTTCAGTTAGCTGTTGTGATCTCACAAGAACATTATTGACCTGGACTGTTGTGGTTTCGGTGTTCCACACAGATCCAGCGTAGACTCTTCTAAAATCAATGATCAGTGATCCCATGGCTAGTCGACACATATACCTGCCAAAATAAGTGTCATTTTATATCCCGCTTGTCCTTCAGTCGTCACCCTGTGAGAATTTTAGGTGTGTGTTGGGATGTTGAGCTTATGAGTAGAAGATCGCTGGTCTGAATCCCAGGGTCAGCAGACTGATGATGCTGTTGGGTGCCTGAGCAAGACCCTAATCCTCCCCCAGCTCCAGGGATAGTTGTGTGCTGGTTGCCCCTGTATTTGTGTCTTGTGCGGTAGGGAAAAAAGACAATTCTGCCTTGGGGATCAATAAAGTGTCTTTATCCTGTGCAGTAGTCTGTCTTTCCACCCGTGGTTTCTTTATTTTTAAAGTAGAATTAAATTCCCTACAAATTAAAGAGACCTTGAAATTCATTCTGAACTAGATAACGATATATGTCTTAAGTGGGGGGGGGGGGTACTTCACAGTTTGGGTTCGAGCCACTACAAACAAACTGTCACCCACTGAACAAGCGGCGTCTGTGGAATGGCGGCAGACCTTGCGGCAGAGCCCGGTGTTATTAATAGTGCAGTTTAATGCGACGTGACGGCAGCATCGCTGGCTAAGTCTAATAAGTATATTAACTTGCAGCTTCTTCTCTGCCAGGAGCTTCCCGTCACACGGGGTCTCTGTTAATGCTGCAATAATAAGGACAAATGTTCCTACAAAGACCCTTGTGGACATTCCTCACGTTTAGGCCATTACGAACCAGAGGGAAGAACACGTGCATCTCCGCACTGCAGGTGTGTTTAGTGGGGGAGGGTCTGGGTTACTGACACTGGCCCGTATACCTGTGTACGTTGGGCAGGTGGTATAGCTGAACCAGAAACCAGCTGAGCTGTCATCCCCCATGGGATTAAGACCGTTAGTGTTCTGAGAATGCAGCTGCGGGTTGCCGGCTGTTCAGGCAGTCCTGAAAGATCGCCGGATTCAAATCAGCAGGGAGTCTTCCGTGACACCCCACAATAGTTCCCTGGAATTAATCCTGGCTGTAACATGCTGCCATGGTACAATTCCTTGGTACCCCGTTGTGAGACCTTGCTGTTGCACCCAGTCATGGTTCCCTTCCTTGGTACCCTGCCGAGGTTCCTCGCTTTGAGACCTTGCCATACCACCCAGCCGTGGTTCCCTTCTTTGGTACCCTGCCGAGGTTCCTCACTGTGAGACCTTGCCATACCACCTAGCTATGGTTCCCTTCCTTGGAACCCTGCCGTGGTTCCTGCTGTGAGACCTTGCCATACCACCCTGCCATGGTTCCCTTCCTTGGAACCCTGCCGTGGTNACCCTGCCGTGGTTCCTGCTGTGAGACCTTGCCATACCACCCTGCCATGGTTCCCTTCCTTGGAACCCTGCCGTGGTTCCTGCTGTGAGACCTTGTCATACCACCCAGCCATGGTTCCCTTTCCTGGTACCCTGCTGTGGTTCCTGCTGTGAGACCTTGCCATACCACCCAGCCATGGTTCCCTTCCTTGGAACCCTGCCGTGGTTCCTGCTGTGAGACCTTGCCATACCACCCAGCCATGGTTCCCTTTCATATTCAGGCCTGCAATTTTTTTTATTTTTATTATTTTTTTTTACAAATCACTTAATGGCTCAGGACCAAAATACTTTTCTGAGAGTTCAAACCCGACTGGCCTCTTGGATCACTAGGGATGGGTCGGCTAGTAGTAGCTAGACATAAATCCAAACATGGTGAGGCAGAATTTAGCTACTATGTTACCCAAAACTGGAACAATCTCCCCAAAGATGTTACATGTGCCCCAGCTGTAGCCATTTTTAATTCCAAACTGAAAACCCACCTGTTCTCTTGTGCCTTTGATTAGTGTCTCAGGTAAAGTCCTGCATTTTTCTTTTTTACATATTCTAAAATTGATCTGTTCTACTAAATGTGAAACTTGCCCTACCTCGATGTCAGTCTGCTGTGGTACACTTCATTGGTCCCCTTGACCTCTAAGGCACAAGTCAAACTTCCAAATGTATGAAATGACCTGTAGCTATTTGACAAAGTATGTTTTTTTTCTTCTGAGAACCTCTCCTCCTCATGTTCTTTCGTTGTTCCCTCCTTCAGGAGACTATGTGGTCCTGACTGTCTTCTTCGAGCTGAGCAGACGGATGGGCTACTTCACCATTCAGACCTACATCCCTTGCACCCTCATCGTCGTCCTGTCCTGGGTGTCCTTCTGGATTAACAAGGATGCCGTGCCAGCAAGGACCTCCTTAGGTAAAAACCATCTGCCAGGGCAAAATATCCTTCACTGACTACCCAAACGCAGACAAACCTTTATGGAACCCGATGGAATTCAGTAACGTTGTATTAATTATTGTTTTCTTCTTCAACAAGTCCAGACTGTCCACAGTAGGAGCTGACTCTAGCTGGAAACAAAGATCTGATAGCTTTTAATCCATTCAGCCTTGAATTAACTGTCACTGATATGTACTCGTCTTTAGCCTGTGATATGCCATAATTATCTAAGCCTTGCTACACGTATAGCCAAAGGCAAATGGTGCAGTAGAGTCTTTGTTAAAGACTTTGCATCTTTCTGGAAATTGTCCACTTTTATGGAATCAGGGCTCAAGCTGTAAATTCCTTTGGTGGTGTTTTGTCAGCTTTGTAGAAGCCAATAAAGCCAATAATGTAATAACTGCCAATAAAATAACAATTGTTTCCATTCTTAATGTAATTAAAATCAGTAATGTATTAACTAGCCAATAACATGACACATTTCCTGAACCAAAAATATACCAACTTTTTGTTGATTATCGACTTTTATTGCATTAACAATGGAGAAATGTATTATGTTGTTGCCATGCTATTTTACATTTTGGTAGTTACTACATTGTTGGCTGCTACACCCTGTGAGACCCTACGACTCCGTAAACCAGCTAACGGTATCATAAAACCCAAAGGTTTCATCGCTCCTAATGTATTTTTTTTATACAAACTCAGCAACAAAATTTACTATCTTTTTTTTCCTTTTCTATAAAAAAGTAAAACTGTATCAAAGTCATACTTCCTGACTGCTGACATTAACGAAGATTAAAATTTGCTTTGTTTCCATCTGAAAGATTTTAGGGAGATGAATGTCTGGTGGCAGCTGGAAGGATTAAACGTCTGTGGTATATATATATATTTTTTTTTTTTGAAAATGTGGGGTATTACGACGATTAAATATAGAGATAATTTAGCATTCGCTCCTTTTGTATTTAGGTCCAAAGCCTGCGTAGTCTAACACAGCATGATGAATGGCATGCGGGGGAAAAGACGGGATTTGGCTTTGGTGTCCGTGCAGTCGGCACGCGTGTAATTTATTTAAGGGCCTCTTCTCGTGTATTGTCACTTTCTGTGGTCATCCCGTCCCCCACGGTGCAGAACACAGCACGCCAGATGGTGCGGTGTAATGTCTCTTGGACTGCTCTCAAGTGTACACAAACGGACGACGAGGAGAGACTCAGCCTATTGGTCGACTCTCGCTTCCTTGGAATCGAGATCATAGCTCACGCCCTCCTGCCCCAGCGGATGATTCATCTGCGATTTAACCGTTTGCCGCCCGCCGTTCGCTGGTCGAACTCCTCGGGCGTCGGGTCCATCTTGTCGGTAATCGTTCCTTGGCAGGGTCGGCCTCTTTCTGTGGGACGGCGTCTTCAAAATAGAGAACGCCACTCGCTCTTTCACGGGGGATCTCTTCTAGACGATATCTTGAGTTGCATTAGTGTCTTCTCTAGAAGGTGGGCGGGGCATAAGAGGGGCCATAATTAATATATAGAGGGGCAAACCTTATTAGCCAATGATATGTTTTGAACTGGTGAGTGACAGGTGAAGGGGCACGCCGGGGGCCAATCAGCATTCAGTTTTGCCAGTGCCCCTCGGTAGCCCAGCCCCTGTTGTTGCCACACCTTGGTGTGGACTCTGCATGTCTTCTCCGTCATATATAACCCCTGATAGTGGGGCTCCTCCTAGTGGTCTATGTTCCCCCTTTGCCCCTTGAGTCTCGACGCATCTCCCCCCTCCCACCCCCCCCATTCCACAGACCTTC